AAATTCAATTATGGCATCCCAAATTATTTTGGCACTTTACATAGTAAATTATATATAAACCGAATAAATTATGGCATCCCAAATTATAATTATGGCATTCCAAAATAATTTGGGCAGCATGTATACTTCGTAATGGTTCCAAAATTGTTGCAACTTGATTACAATCATAAAAGAATCCACGAGAATTAAGAATTTTTCTAATAGATTGATTTATTATAATGTCATAGTTTTCACATTTTATCTATTAAAATAAGAATAAATTAAAATAAGTATTATGTAATAAATTAAAAATAATTACTAATTTCATTAAATACTTATTACTTTTTCTAAAGGTTCTTGAAGTCATGCAATTGAACTAACAGTTTTATAACTTGAAGTCCATTGGGGTTTACAATAATTCTTTAATCCACCCAATTCAGTTATATATTTGTTCAAAAAATATCTTCCCTGATGAGAAGTTTTGAAAAAGCGGCTTAGAATATTACACCACTTTAAAATGTGCTTTGGAAATATATGTTCTGAAAAAAAATAAATTATTAGTAATTAAACATTTAATGTGTAATTATATATTATAAATTAAGAAAATAGACATTTACCTAAAATATCTTTGCTTATTAAATTAACGAAGTGAGCTATACAATGAATATTCATAATATGAGGATAAGTATCAGAAATTCTTTGACGGGTAGCAGCAACTGCAGAAGCATTATCTAAAACAATAGCCACAAATTTTTCTGATCCAATTTTTTCAATAATCTCCAAAATTTCACTTTTTATAAGATCTGCCATATGACTCACTGCTGATAAGTTCTTAAGTGAGTGTAAAAATTCCTGTCTATCTGGAGTTATAATAATGAAGTTATATACAGATAAACCTTTAGGACTTGACTATCCATTAAAACCTAATATAAATAATAAAATAATATTAGATACATTAAATATTGTATAAAAAATTTTGCTTTTTATTTTATTAATTACCTAATGTAAGATTCTCAGCATTTTTTAAAATATTTTCTACTTTGGAATTTATTTTTATTACTTTATAATTCAGTAATATTCTGGATAAATGATTACATGATGGAGGATTATATGCAGGCCAAAAGGACTTAATGGCATCTATAAAGAATGGATTTTCAATTGCTGAGAATGGAATACCACAGCCTACAAAGGCTTTAACCCACGCTTGATTTATTCTTTTTTTTCTAGACTTAGTTATCTTACTTTTATCATCCTAATGATCATTCAAAGTAGTCTGATGAGTTCACTTATTACTTTCACATGGTTCATCATCACTATCTTTATTATTTTTAACTATGATTGTTAAATACTTTAGTCAAACATCATCAGAGTATGATTGACCATTTTTAGCCAAGTGAATTTGAAGTTCATAAGGTCATCCTTGTGGTATAAAAACCATACAATATTTACACTTTACCGAAAAGTATCCTGCAGAAGGGAGTGGTTCTTTTTCAAAATACTCCCAAACAGGATTTGGTGGACGTCCTCCAGCGTGTTTAGGATGTATTGTATCATTATTTTCTGAAGTAGTAGTAAGAGTAACGGGTGTAGTAGGAGTAACGGGTGCAGTTGATATAGGTAGTGTAGTAAACTTATGACGAGCCATTTTTTTAACAGTTGCTCTTTATTAAAAAAAACCAAAAGAAAGTCTTTTATTATATTTTATTGATTTTTAAATAAGGGGACAGCAAACAAAAATATGGGAAATGTTTAAGCATGATGTTGAAAATCTCAAGAAATATTGTAATTATTACTTATTAGTAACAAAATATTTCAATAAATTTGCAAATTTGGGCAAAAATCTTGATAAATTTGCAAATTTAGTAATTAATATTAAAATTTTTTAATGAGTTTACAATTTTGGTTATATTAAAAATGATTTTTAATAAATTATTTTTTATATTCAGTAAAAAGCTCTTTATTCAGAGTAAAATTTTTATATAAAAAAAATTTGATTATCATAATGCATGCATATGACAATTTGGTCATGATTTCAGAATTTAGTATAGTTTCAAAAGTTTTTGCAATTTTGAAAAGTGAAATTTTTCTGAAATAATTTCTACTAGTTTTAGTTTTGGCAGTTTCGGAAACTAGTAAATTTTGGGCAGCAATATTAAATAAGGCTGATGTAATACAAAATCATGTGAAGTAGAAAAGTAACGGTGATACTAGAGAAAATTATTTATGAGTTAATTGTCACGTGTTGAAATAAAATTAACTGATTATTTTCACTCTGTTTATCACGTCTTAGAATTAGAGGTGATTAGATTAGAAGTTAGACATCATTTTGGTTAAAAATTATATGTTTAAGCTAGTATTGTTAAATTCAAGTTATGCTGAAGTACGCCAAACTACGCCAATGGGATTAATTCAGTTCAACTTTAACTTAAAGCTGATTCAGCTCAGTTTGACTTCAACTTGAAGTTGATTCAGTTTAGTCCAATTTAGTTGAAATGGGCTTATGAAACCAATAGGACCAATGGGACTAATGGGGCTGATAGTGGCAGACCAGTGGGACTGATAGAACTGATGAGGCCGATAGTAGTGGGCTGATGGTGATGGGCTGATGGGCTGATAGGACTATAAATGATCAGATCATCTTGTCTGATTACAACGATAATGTAAAGAATGCATATAATTAGTACTAGCTGAAATTATGCTTATTTGACCAGTATTACAGTATAGTGTTAGCTGAAATTATGCTTATTTGGCTGATATTATGTATAGTCCTGACTAAAATTTGTTAATTTGGCCAGAATTACGGCCATCAGCATCATAGATTTCTTTCAGTTCCATTGGTTCTATTAGTCCTATCAGCTCACTTCAGCTTCATCAGTGGCTCAGTCCAGTTTAGTTTGACTTGAACTTTCAAGTCAATATGGTTCAGTCTGAATCAGCTTAACTTCTAATCGGCTCAGCTTAAAGTCAGACTAAACTGGACCGTTAACAATACACAAGCCTACAATAAATTACCGGATTTCTTTAAAAATGCTTGGTAATTTTCAATTGCATAAAAATACATAAGTTTTGATGAAATCACTCAATTTTTTTTTTATTTGAAAGATAATCCTTCGTAGATTTTATATCTTAAATAAAAAAAAAATGTTTATAAGATATAAAAAAAATTATCTGATTATAAAATATGATAACTTTTTGAGGTTATTTTATATATTTATTTGCACATAGATAACTTTTAAAATTTCAAATATGTCAACCATTTTTATTTGCATTTTTAACAACTACAATTGATTATCTTTCAAATAAAAAAATAATAATTATAATCTGTTAAAATTTGACAGACTTGTATATATCTTAAAAAATGCCTATTTTACTATATTTTACTATTATTTTTCAAGTTTATTAGTAATTTTCAGTAAAATTGGCATTTTTCTAGATATACAAAATTCTGTCAATTTTCAATAGATTTTAATAAATTTTTTTTTATTTGAAAGCTAATCAGTTGTAGTTTTTAAAAATGTAATTAAAAATGTTATATAAATGACATTCTAAAACCTATCTATGTAAATAAATATACAAAATAATTCTAAAAAAGGCTGTCATAATTAACAATTAGACAATTTTTTTCCATACTATAAAATATCCTTTTTTTATTTAAAATTTAAAATCTACAATGGACTAGCTTTCAAATAAAAAAAAATTTGAACGATTTCATCAGAAATTTATAAACTTTCATGCAATATGAAAATTACCAAGCATTTTTAAAGAAATCTGGTAATTTATTGTAGTCTTGTGTACTAGCCTGAGCTTTTTTAATAATCACACGCATCATTAACAAAGAAAATAGTGAATGAAATAAATAAAATGTATAAGAAAAAGGAAGTTTTTGATTCTAGGCTAATTTAATGCATTAAATTTTTTTTATTACAAACCAGATATATGCAAATTATTTTTTATTGATAAAATTTATATTTGAGAATGTATATATACATAAAATATGCACTTGAGCTGAACCGAGTAGAGCAAGTGAAACAAACGGTTCCAGAGGAATTAGCTCCAAAGTTAGCTTTAAGAGTTGACTTGGTAAACTGATTTTGTTTCCAAATTTAAAAATGCAATTATAAATTAATGCTAAGTTAATTTCGTAAATCATATGCATGTTTAAAAAATTTGAAGTAAAATCTTTTATTATATGGTACATACAATCTAAAGCCACCACTTTTTATTATGTGATTTCAAATAAATAGAAAAAAAATTTTAATAAAAAAACTTTCTGTAATATTGTAGTTTAAACAGTATACTTTTATATAACAGAGAGTTTTTTCAAATTTAATTACTGTAGCATAAGATATATAAGTTTTAATTTTAGTTATTTTACTATGTTTTGAATAAATTTGAAGGAATTTGGCCAGTTTAATACTAATATAATGCAGGCCAAAATTTATAAACTGGCCTAAATTAAGAATTAATATAAAAATATTTTGTTTAAAATAACTGAATGAGAATTATTTATCTATAAACTTTATTTTTTTTGAAACAAATTAAATATAGTATGTTTATTATTCATAATGAATATAGAAAAAATTTAATGGGTATTACAATTTTATATATAATAAAACAACAGATTCTTTTTGATAATATGAATTTATAAATCATTTTAGCCAGAATTAATATTAATTCTGGCTAAACAATTGGTATTCTATTCTACAAACCCATCTATATATATATATGATAAGTAAATATTGACCAATGAAATTTGCTCACATGATTTTATAAAAATTTGGCCAAAAAATAAAAAAAGTGGTGGCTTTAGACTGTGCGCACCATATTTTTTTCATAAATTAATAAATGAGAAAGGGCCGGCTAGGAAAAAATGAAAGTAAAGAATAATAGAGTAGCAGGTTGTTTCAAGGGTATTCTTAAATTTAATTGAATATCTACTTTTAAATCAGCAATATGTTTATGTTGCATTTTGTCTTAAAATTTAAACTTTTATAAATTAATTTTTATTTGCCAAATATAATTTTACATATTTTAAATATTATAAGCCTTAATAGTTAATTATTATTAATTCATAACAATGTAATCTAATTCAACTATTATTATTTTTTTTTATTTACAGGATTTTATGTAATTAACTTTTACAGTCAATGTTAAACTAATTACTACTATTCATAAGTTTAGCTTGAAAAAATATAATCACATTATACAAGGAAATCGTCAACTTCCATCGGCTCGACATTGTCGAAATTTAATAATTCTTCGGTTTCTCTTGTAAGCTCTCGGAATCTATTGTCAAACTCCTTCTGTAATGATTGATAAAAAAAATTATTTAATATTACATAAAGCATTACAAATTAAAATATCATAACATGTGAAATAATATTAACTTCTAACGCTTGGGAGTCTTTAAAAACCTCAGAATCGTCTTCGTTGAAGATTTGTGCATTTCGGAACATCAAGATTACATCATCTCGGAACTGGCCAAGCGTTTTATATTTTTCTTTCTCAATCCGAGATCTGATGGTGTTAATAGCAATTGGCCTCTTAATTATTCTATAATATTCTGGGTATTCCTTTTTACTTGGAAGATCAAAAAAGATTTCCGCCCGTACTCTTGAGTTTCTTTTTTTTAAAAAAATAAAAAAAAAAGAAAAAAAAGTATAAATTACATAATAAAAATATTTAAATTCACATTAAAAACTGTAGAAATACTTTCTTATACGTACTCATCCTTCACATTTTCAATGTGAGAAATACATTCCTGAAAAATAGGCTTCATTCTCATAACTTTCTCCTTGCCATCATTAAAATCAGTTAACTTTAATCGACGTTTCTGAAATAAAGACTCTACTAAGTTAAAAGAACTTCGATCGACAAAATAATTTAATCACATCAATATTAAAATATTACATTGTCATCCGTATTATGCTTTCGTTTTTTTCCTTTGATAGATATAAGTGTTGATGACTCCTCAAATAGGCTTTTATTAAACATGTCGTCATCATCCTCGAATATTTTAAACCTTTTAATCTTTCTTTTAGGTCTGGAAGAAGAAAATGTATCTTGGGATTGATCATTTTCTTCAGGGCTTAGTTGTTCAATCATTTTACCTTTTCCTTTCCTGCGAGAAAGTTTAATAGACATTGAAGGTGTTGCCATAGGGTCTGTGTCAATATCAGCATCATTTTCTGCCTTAAGTTTTGCAACCCTCTTGGAAGTACGTACGGATGATGAAATTGAGGAAGTCTCCGCAACAGATTCTGCTGTTGCTTGGGAATCTTCGCCTTTCTGTTGAAACATACGTTTCCTTGAATTTTCTCGATTCTTAAGGAGTAGTTTTTGCTTTTCAGCAATAACTCTGTTAAACTCTTCTTCATCCATATCTATAATCTATTATAAATTAATAACCCAAAAATAATTACAATCAATATGCAAATCAATTAAAGAATCTTTAATAATAATACTTACATTAATAAATTGCTCATCTGTTAAACCGTCAGTATAATATACTTCTTTCCTTTGTCTTTGTCCTCGACCATATTCAGTAGAATCACCAGGACGTGTCTCATATTCTTTCTTATATACCTCAGGCAACTCATTTTCTTGAATTAATCTTGCAGGTAGAGGACCATCTCCACCAGATTCTTTCCAAAGCTCTTCTTCTCTTTTCTGCCTGGCAATATCAATTTTTTTAAATAGCTCGAGCTCCTCTTCGTTCCGAGAAATTAGTAAATTGATCTCATCATCTTCTAAAACCTCTCGTTCCTCGTCTTCAGGATCATTAATTTCTGCGTCACCGGTTTCCAAAAGAGAACGTAGAAAAGCTTCACGCTCTTCAGCGGTACTTTTCTGATCGAATTTACCAGCTTGGATGACTTTACCATCGATATCAAGTTTATACTGAGCTCTTGCGAGAATAGTCTCTTCGATCGATTTTTGACAAATTAATCGTAAAATTCTGACTTCGTTGGTTTGTCCGATTCTGTGGGCACGATCTTGAGCTTGGAGATCCTGATGAGGATTCCAGTCAGAGTCAAATATAATAACTGTATCTGCGGTCTGTAAATTCAAACCTAATCCACCAGCTCTTGTACTGAGTAGAAAGATAAAATGAGGTGAATTTGGGTCGTTGAATTCTTTAAGTTTAGCTGACCGATCATCTGCTTTTGTACTGCCGTCCAGTCGGAGAAAATGATATCCACGCCAAGCAAGATAATCTTCCATTATAGTCATAATAGTTGTCATTTGGAAGAAAATTAAGACCTGTTTTATTTAAATTAGATTAACATAAAAAAGCTACTTAGATTGTATAAAAAGGACACTTTATTGAATAATTACATACTCTATGCTTGCTCTGATAAAATTTGGGTAAAACCCGGTCCAAAAACTCGAATTTACCGGAAACACGATAAAGGAGATTATTATCATTATGAAGATTCGTGTCCTTTTCAACCTCCTCAAATACGAATGGATGATTGCAAATCTTACGGAGTTGCATAATGGTATTATTGAGTCCTTTAATACCAGTTTTTCTAAATGAAGTCAATTTAACAAAATATCTGTGATTAAAGAAAACCATAGTTACGTTGCAAGTAATTTACTTACCCTTTCTCGCCTTTATTAACAAATAAGGCTCCATGTTTTTTCATTTGATTGAAAAGTTTCACTTGTAAAGCTGACATCTTGACTTTTATAACAGTCTCGATTTTATCAGGAAGTTCTGATTCCACATCTTTTTTTAATCTTCGAAGCAGGAAAGGTCTCAAAACCTAAGTATGTAAAAAAGAATACGTTAGAATTAAACATGCTTTTTAGTGACGATTATTCTGTATATTAATTTCGAATATTATATTACCTTGTGCAACCGACGGATAATCAATAAAGATTCTTCTTCGTTCAATGCGATCTTATCTTGACCACCTGTATTCGCGAACGGAGTGTTAAACCATTCATCAAAGCTCTTCACAGAATCAAATATTTTTGGTAAAACAAAGTTCAATAAAGACCACAATTCTGGCAGATTATTCTGTATATGATAAGGAATATATGTTAGCTAATGTTATGCATATACAAGACAATTAAATGAAAATCGCATCAAATGAACCAAGTAAGATAATATTACCTGCAATGGTGTTCCAGTTAATATTAATCGATATCGAAAGACATAATCATTACACAAAACCATGGATAGCTTTGAATTTGTGTTCTTCATACGGTGACCTTCGTCGATAATAACATAAAGCCATTTTGGCTTGCTCAAGACCGTCTTGTCTTTAATGATGAAGTCGTAAGTTGTTAGGCAGACATGGTAGTTGCCGTGTCTTAAATATCGCTTCTGAATCTCTTTACGCTCAGGAGGTGGGCCTTTATAAATACATTTTTTAACAGAAGGTGCCCATTTATCAAACTCCAAATTCCAATTGGTTAAAGTTCTATAATTATCATAAAATTAGGCTAATAATGACTGCTCTATTCATAAAAAAAGATTATTTATCAATCTTACTTACGATAATGGAACAATAATCAAGAATGGACCGTGTTGTTGTTTCTTTTCGATGAGATAAGTTATCAAAGATATCGTCTGAATAGTTTTACCAAGACCCATTTCATCAGCAAGGATTCCGTTAAGACGATTATTATACAATGAAACCATCCATTGAAGACCTTTGAGTTGATATTCCTTCAATGTACCACCATCTAACATGATAGGCTGATGTACTTCTTCTTGTATACGATGCGCGACAGCATAATAATCAATCTTCTTTCCATCCTATAATTGAAAATTAACCATTTAAATTCGGGAAGTTCATGAATGAATATTGTTTCATCATAAAATTTATTCATACCGTAGTTTGAATAATATTATCTTCATCTTCAACTGGAGTCGAGGGCTTACTGAGATCAACTACACCCGTGAGATCGTCATTGGAACGATCGTTAATATCAACTTCATTTGTTATATAGGTGTTTTCCTCATTTTTATTCTCACTTTTACTAGTATCTGGAACGGCATCGTTAATAAGAAGATTTGATATTTTCATAGAATTATCAGTAGAACGAGTAGAATCACCATTAATTGCTGTTTCGATAGTCCCACTCACTGCCTGAATATGACTATCATTTGATATCGCAACATTATTCAAGAAGTTATGATTATTATTGGCCGATGTAATAAATGTATCATTTGGTCGTATGATACTACTACCAGGTTTCAGAGATGAATCCATAGGTGAAAATTGTTGAAATTCGTTTTGTTGAGCAATTACTGCCTTTGCTAATGACTCGAGATAAACGTCCGTTTGCCTTAATAGATGAGTAATACGAGTGTCTTTTGCCTCATCAATAAGTTTTAAGTAGGCCTCCTCGTCATTATTCTTTAACGCTGCTAATCGTTCCTTAGAGTATCGATCTGTCTTTCTTTGATACTCTTTTTGAAGGATCACATGATAATTCAAAATGGCACGACCTAATTTCATTCTCATGTTCTGTTTCTTCTTATTGCGGCTTATCATATCATCACCGTGAGCTATAATATTATCTAGAAAATCCTGTCGCATTAGCCTTTGGCTGCGTGTCGATCTCTCAACTCTCTCTTTTTCCGCTGCCTGAGTGGCGGTCCAAGTTCGTATCTTTTGCTTTACTGGTCGCCTACGGTTAACCATAGACACGATAGGTTCTGGTTTCCTAAATTGTGAATATTGTAATACATCATGTCGAATCTGACGTAAATTTTCAAAATGAGTGAAACGATTAATTTAGACAAATATGCATTAAATAAATATAAAAAAGGTTAATATACCTTCTGCTGTATCTTATATAATTTTAAACTTTTAAGTTCTATTAATGCTTTAATTTTTGGGCCAGGCTTATTTCTTAATTCTACATTTACTTGACTTCTGAGTGCAGGTGGATCATTTGATAAATTGGATGGTAAGCTTTCAAGTTGCCTAATACGATTTTGTATTCTGGCACGTAAAGAATGTTCACTTTCTTCAGCTTCGTATTGCATCTTCTCAACATTTTCAGGTGTTGGTATGTTAGGTATAGGGATTTCTCCTGTAAAGTCGTCAAAGATTACTGTTCTAGCTAGTTTATATGAAAGTAGGTCTTCTTTTTCCTTCTCAGCCTGTTCTTTAGATAGCATTCCTAATTGCATATTAAGTGGTATTTGTTGTTCACTGACTAGCCGAGCGTAAGCGGCTTTTTGGTTGCTAATTCTTGACAATTGTTCTTCATTCAACTTTGATTGTGCCTTAGCCTTTAGTTCACATTCACGCAAGTAACTCTTTGCGTTAGCATAGGATGAGTTTGTTTCTTCAGTGGCCCCAAGAACTTTCATAGTTTTTAGGGTCTATAATAAATAGTATACGAAACGTAAAAAATTTTTTTATTCATATTTACATAATATATTTATTTATTTACTATTATATTTTGAAAAAAAAAAAAAATAATTCTTTTTATTTTAAATTTCGCGAATTTTTATAGTCAATAGACCATAAAAAAAATACGTTCGAAATGATATACAAAAATGAGACCAAAATAGCTCTGGTTGGATATCTTTGAACACAAACAAACGCGTATTATAGCTACCGGCAAATAAAACTTACCTCAAGTATTTTATCTAGTGTTTCTTTTGACAACTCACCAACACAAAGTTGGACGAGAGTTTGCGAAAGATTAGAGATTTTTTCTTGTAGTTGGGTCATTATTGTAGCGAAAGAACATATGTTGTTATTCAAAGTTTTGAAAAAGGTTATCTTTTGACTGCTGTTTTCGTTGCCAACAGTCTGAAAAGAATTATTAGAGAATGAAATTTTTCTGAATATCGAAATATTTATTAGGCAAAATCAAAAAGTTTCAGTAAAATTCAGAAGTTTTATGTCAATCACCTGCAAAAAATGAAATATTATGTTCAGACGTTATTAGTTATAGTTATGCTGCGGTCAAGTGTAACCTGCGATAGAGTTTTGTGTAATCAATTTTTATTAAAATTCATCATTTAACGTTAATTTAGTACTAGTTCTTTCAACTTCCCAAGTTAAAATGAAAACTCGATTCAGTACATTATTACATCTGTTATTATTAGTTGTTATTGTTTGCTTGTTACCAAGAGTGATTGCAGCTAAGGGACCTGTTATAACAAATAAAGGTGAGACATCTCGAACTTTATATATGCACAACTTTTTATTATTATTTTTCATTGATTAATTCGTTTATTAGTATTCTTTGATGTCAAGCATGGTGATGAAGAATTAGGGCGTATAGTCATTGGTTTATATGGCAAGGTACTCATTTAATTATTAAAATTCGAAACTGAATTCAACCTAACTAATGATGTTACAGACTGTCCCCAAGACAGTTGAAAATTTCCGTGCATTAGCAACTGGAGAAAAAGGATTTGGATATAAAGGTTCAATCTTTCATCGTGTCATAAAGGTATATCAATAAATTTTAACTTAATCTCTTTATTTCCTGAAGTAAATTTGTTTAAATCGTATTTTTAGGATTTTATGATTCAAGGTGGAGATTTCACAAAAGGTGACGGAACAGGTGGTAAATCTATCTATGGAAATAAGTTTGCTGATGAGAATTTCAAACTTCGTCACACTGGGCCAGGTGTTTTGAGTATGGCAAATGCTGGACCTGATACTAATGGATCTCAAGTAAGAGTATTTTTGTTATATAACATTAATATTACAAGTGATTTCTAACCAAACTATTGCTATTAGTTTTTTATCACTACTAAAGCAACCTCATGGCTTGATGAACGCCATGTTGTCTTCGGATATGTTTTGGAAGGGATGGATATTGTGCATAAAATTGAAGATGTAGAAAAAGGACCATCAGATCGACCGAAAGAAAATGTAACAATTATCGATTGCGGCGAACTTCCAATTAAGGAAAGCGAAAAACCTTATAGAGTCGAATTATAGTTTAAGTTTTTAATCTGTTATTTATTTAAATTTTTATAAAGAGAAATTTTGCATAATTCAAGATTTAAAAATAAATATTTAATAATTTTTATACTAGTTATTCTTCATCCTTTCCTTGTTTATTTAGACTTCACAACCTAAAAATGATGCAGAAATAAACGACTTACCACTCGATACCTTGGATGGGATTAAAAATCTTTCATCGAGTTGGATTAAAATTTTAATATAAAGTTGATGATAATGAGAATTCGTCAGCTACTATCAGAAAGTGTGAATTATTAAAGGAAATTGTAATGCTAATAATCTTAGCATTTACATTATTAAGGAACTAGTAATTGCTTTTTATTGATAAAATGTACAATGATGTTTTTTATTTTTTAAAAAAAAATGCGTACTAAAGTCTATCGTAATTTGTTGATACTTTAAATAATTTAATTAGATGTTAGAATAAATATTAGTTAAAAATTGAAATAATATTATCCGCAATTCTTGACATACCCTTAAATATATCTAAATTATCTACAATTTTTATTCATCAAGTCAATATTAATATTTGGTCTCCAAACTAAAAAATATTAAAAAATTAAAATCGTGCTTTTTTATTAATTAAAACAACACGAATGCTGCGATTTATTGAACCTTGTAATAATCCGGAAACACCATGATGAGAAACAAAGGGGGAAACGGAAGCTATTGTTTTGCTGAACTCTGGATCAGGATGCCATGCAATATCTAATACTTTTTGCCTAGATGAATATATAAGGCCAGTGAATTAATAATTTATTTCATAAAAAATAGTTGATAGATAACTTCAATTAACCTGTGACCCGTATGCTTAAATTTCGCGCCTTCCTGCTTATCGTTATTATTTTTATTTATACCCTCGAAACAAAACAAAAGAAAAATGTAAATTAATAATAGAATATTATTGGATAAATGGAAGAAAAAGATCGCGATTTACTTCTGTATTCCAAATGATAACACTGCAATCATCCGAACAACTGGCAAATAATTCATTGTTATGAGGCGACCAAGATACTTTATTTACGGAACTTTGGTGTTGCTTAAAAGTGGATAACGGAGATGGCTTTGCAAAAAAAAAAAAAAAGATTAATTCTATTATCAATTATATTGATCATAATCTAACTAATATGAATATTTACTTCAGAATTTTTGAACACGTTCTTCATCTTTCGAGTGTCCCACCATTCAATAATACCATCTGCACTAGATGTTAATAGATAATGTTCTTTGTGTGGATTCATATGACAACTCATAGCCGCTGCCTTATGTGCTTTTTCCACCTGAAAATTATACATTTATTTTCACTGAAATTTTTTTTTTGATTTAAAATATATTATTCGATCGACTTACATTTTGGGCGATTTTGTTCGTACGATAATCCCAAATAATCACATTTCCTCGACTTGAAGTACAAGATATATTTGTACTATCTTCCTTACAATCACATGATAGGATTTTATTTGTAGGGTCTTCAGTAATCTTATTTTTATTTCTGGGCATAAGTGCTAAAAATTACATTGAACGATTTACTTGTTACCAGTATGCAGAAAAAAAAATTGCAGACAAAGTATATTTTGCTCCGAATAAATTTATATACCTCTTTGATTTGATCCTGTTTGATAATCGGCCAAATTCCATAGGGCTAAATATCCATTTTCAGCTATAAAAAATTATGAAATATTATATGCTTATATAAAAGTATATTAAAAAACACTGTGTAATTAGTTATTCTACTTCACTTACCACCATTAACTACTATTTGTTTGTTTTTGGCCACACATAATGCTGGCCCGATTATTGATGAGCTACTATCGTCGAGAGCCAATTTAATTTGTGCAGCAGGTCTAAATAAAGTAAAAAATTAATCAAATTCATGTGATTTTAAACGATACAGAATAAATTTACCTTTCGTTTTCAGAACGAACTAACGTGTTTTTCAGATCCCATACATAAATAAATTGCTTTCCGCTTGTAACAACCTTCTGCGAAGTTAAAAGTCTTATAAAATTTTTAAAAATGGCTCAAAAACATCAGTGAATTCATCTTTGATTTAATAATAATGAGATATTTCTAAATTCAAATATACCTTGCTTGTTGAAGTGAATCAATTTCATGATGTAAAATTCGTTGATAGAAGTTTATATTCTATATTGTGAAGAGAAGATTTGATAAAAAAAATATATATTCAATAAAATTTATTCGAAGTCACATTTCGCAAACTTAACTTACATCACAATGTTTTACGCTTGTCCTTTTAGCTGACTGAATTGAATTTACTAAACCATAATTCAATGGGCTACCTTCTGGATACAACTGACATTCTAATATGCTTAAATATGCTTCATTAGTCATCGTTAGAGCCATATTGGTTGCTAAATTAGAATGCTAAATAATTTGTATTTGAGGGAATAAAATTTTATCCAAATCATTACGAATAAAAGCACCCACCACTGTAAAGCATGTATTTTGACCCATTTTCTTCCTGCCTTATTCTTTTTCTTGGTATATCTCCCCATTCAATTGTATAAAATGAGCATGGTTTATTATTCCATTCAGTAAACTGAGAATAGACGACATCATATCGAAGTACAATTCTTGATTCCCACGTTGAAGACTTATATAAACACGTATATTCTCTGATTTTCTATGCAATAACGAATATGTCAATGACCTTTTCAAATTTTTATGGGAATTTTAGCAAAGTTTACCTCGATAGGCAAATTATTATTCATCATGAAGTTGTTTTAACCTAATATTTTCATAGTATTATTTTAGTTTATAAAAATGTCGATTGATTGCATGGTGCACGGACTCTCATCGTACATACCGTTATTCTATATATAGTAATTTATGGTTTTTTTAACCAACTTTTGGTATTAATCGTTCTCGTAAAATGGAACCCTCAAATCTCGAGTCACAACCCAACATCAAAGAGACTTTTCCAGAATATTTTCCAATTCTTGAAGTAGATAACAAATCCAGACTCATTTTAAAGCATTATAAACCACGTCTTAGATCTTTTTCTGCACCAGCTACTTCACATGTTCAACAAGACGATCGTGAAGACGTTCGGAAAGACGATCAAGAAGATTTTATTATACTTCACGATCCCAAACTTACACCTGAAACATTACAAAGAAGTATAAGTCTTACCCGAAATGGTGATCAAGTCGGTCTCAGTTCTAATAACCACAACGTTAATTTTCTTGTAATGTTTAATTTTCCAATTTATGTTGATTTTGACAGTTTTATACGTTAGTTACGAAAGTGTTCCATGTCAGATCCGCGTGGCCCTCTACGAAGTTATGGTAAACGCGTCAATGGAAAAAGACAACGGTATTTAAAGTCATTACAAATCTTAAAGTATGAGGTAATTATCTATTGTTGATATGTAATGTATTTAATTAATTTTTATATAGATGTTTTTATACACATATATTCTTTCATTTCAACTTAAAAGAGCGATAACAACGCAAACAAACCAAAGGAAGCTTCAGTGTTTATATCTCAACTTGATAAATTCGTAACTGAGCGTCAACTTCAAATACCATTTGAGGAATGTGGAAATGTACTTTATTGCAAAATTGAAAAAAATCAAATTCACAATAATAGTCTTGGACTTGCTAGATTAACTTTTTACGAAGAAAATGATGGCGATGCATTGAATGCTGCTAGAGACTCAATATTTAAATTTAATGGAAAACAATTATTCAATGGTCCACCCATAAAACTAGAACTTGATAATGATGGTTTGTTATTTCCTGAAATCACATTGAATTGAAAAAATGATTTATTTAATTCTTTTTGTTGTAGGTTCGAAATTAAAAGCGGCCGCTGATGCAATAATTGCTGAAAACCAGCGTTCATTAGAACCCTTCATTAATAATAAAATGCGTGAACCGTCACCGTTACCTAATGACGATGATATGGAAATAGGCGACGCGCCATCTCCACCTGCTGTAATTGGTTCGGTTCCACTAGCGAAAACTTCAAGCGCATCACAATATTCAGAATCAGACAAGACCAAAAAGAAGTCTGTTCTTTCGATTTCTCACTCTAGAGACTCTGATAATAGATCACATGCTTCGCCAGAAAAACATGATCAAAAGGTAGAATCGGCTCCTAAAAAACCAATCGATGATGATAAAGAGGAAGGCGAAATTGACTCAAATTATGAAGACGAATCATTATTTGGACCTATTAGTGGACATTCATCATCTAGAGACAAAGGAAAATGGTTCGAAAGGTATCCTGTTGATTCAAATTCGCAACATTTGGATTATAGTATACTGACAGTTGTCCCTTCTAAGCGTTCATATGATCAATATATACCTGATTATAGTAATGATCGTAATAGAAATCAAGAAAGACGAAGGCGTAATTCTTCCAGGGAGAGGTTTATTAGAAACAATCTTACTATAGAGAGAAGTCGTAGTCGAAGTCGAGGCAGAAGTCCTATTGGAAATAGTAATCAACAAAGAAGTCGTGATCGTGATTATGGGCGCAGTCGTAACTATGATTCTGTTCGAAATCGAGATCGGGATTCAGTTCAAATTTACAATCGTGATAGTTCTCGTAGTCATGATCGTGATATTTCTCGAATTCATGATCGTTCTACCATTCGTGATAACGACCGATTCGTTTTTCGTAACAATGATCGTGAAGTGATTCGTAGTGGTCGTGACATTTTTAAAGAAGCTTATTCTGATGACAAAAAATCGGAAGTTAGTGATACACGTGATTACTGGACAACAGAAAAATTTGATGGTACAAAGAATTCTTCAGTTGAGATTCCGTCAAGAGATCACGCGAAATACAGGAAAAAGTCTCAACTTAATAAGGATAGTTTATCAAAATCACATCCTGTTAACGAACCAAAGAATCGTATCCAAAATGACATACCTATGAAGTTTGATAATAAAGATAATGAGACAATTGGCCAGATCAATTCCTTGTCGATTAAACGACAAGAATCTTCTCATGTTTCGAGATATGAAATTGGGTTATCTGAAGACAAAAGTAATTCAAATTTAAAAAAACCGCTACAGAGAATTAATTCATCAAGGGTTGAATCTATTGGTAAGCATGTAAATGTTAATCGGCAAACAAAACTTAAGAGTTATCAAAGTAAACCGCAACCAAGTTCAAAAATTTTTGAAGGTTACAGAAAACCAAATATAAGTGACTGGGATTATTCATCTTCTGATTCTTCAAATGAGACTGATAAAGATCGGAAGAGGATGAAGGCACAAGATGCTAAAAGAAAACCACTTCCAAAGAATATCGTTTCAGCATCAACGAAGGTTGAAGATAATAAAAAGGTTGATAGTGATGAAAAGAAGCGTAACCAAGCGTTGCAGCAAAAGAAACTTTCTCAAAAACAAATATCCAAACCAAATACTCAGAATGTTACTGAGAGCACCACAAAATCTAAAATTTTACGCAAATCAAAGAATGTTGATGCAACAATTTCTAATATTAATAAAGAAGCTGATATTTCTCTACTTGAATCCATAAAAACAGTACGAAAACAAAAGATTATGCCTGTTTCTAATATAAAGACAAATTTAGAAGCGGGTGGTTCTTCTGACGTAACAAAACAAAGACAGAATCGCAAATTGAAAGAAGGTGTCACGACTAATGTAAAAAGTCAACAAAGTAATGATAATATTAGACGAATTATTAATCGATCTTCAAATGATGTGATTATTAGTTCCGAGACTAGTGACAGCGATGGTCAATCACCCTATAAACCACACCTTTACGATGAATCTGCAAACGATGATGATGAATATATTGATAGAGATTATCTTACATCAGGTGATGAAATTACTGATGCATATGATTTGGATATGATTCGACTTTATCTCGAGTTGAATGAAAAGGGCCTAATTGGTAGCGATGGTGAGCCTATAGAATGGTCTGAAAACGAAGTAGAGTTTACTATACGAGTGGGTGGTAAGTAGTATGATAACGTGAATAAAAACGTGATTTATACATTACTAATCTTAAATTCATTCTAGATCACGTTGAATCTTTTAAGGATTATGCACCAGATGATGGACCTCATAAGACTGGTTGCGCCAGAACTGAAGGCTATTATAAAATACCTCCAGAGGAAAAGCGCAAATATGTTGCATATGGCATACCTGGTACTTCCTATGCAACAGATAAAGCGCCGGCTCCGAGTTCACGTGCGTCACGTGCCAAACGCCGTGAACTTCAGTCTCGAATGGCAGAGTATCAGGATGTAGCAACTGATGCCGATATTCTACTATACAATCCACTTAAAGCACGTGAGAAAGAACTTACAATTGCAAAATCTAAGATTCATCATTATGGACTCTTTGCCTTGGAGCGCATTAAAGCAAATGAATTCGTTATTCAATATACTGGAGAACTTATACGTCAAGCAGTTGCAGATCTGCGGGAAAGAAAGTATAAAGCTGAAGGCATTGACGGGAGCTATATGTTTCGTGTTGGAGATGATACCATTATTGATGCCACCAAGATGGGAAATAATGCAAGATTGATAAATCATTCATGCGATGTATGTTAATAGAATAAATATATGATATGGTTTTTTAATATTACTAACTTTCAAATAATTATTGTACAATTATGATATATATAGCCAAATTGCAATGCTAAAATTCTTACCATTAAGGGGAAAAAGAAGATCGCTATATATGCCAAACGAGATATTGAATTTGGAGAAGAGATTACTTATGATTATAAGGTACATATTTACATAAGTCAATAAGAAAGATTTACTATTCTATTATTGCTAGTATGTTAACTTATTTTTTTAATTAAAGTTTCCTATAGACAAGCATGACAAAATTCCTTGTCATTGTGGTGCTTCTAATTGCAGAGGATCTTTGAATTAATATAATGACTTTCTTTATTATTTTTTTTCCTTTACACTTAGGATTTAACATAAAAATAATAATATAAATTGAATACTGTAAAAGTTATCAGATATCTTAGATATATAACTTATAAATTTTCTGGAATAAAATATCTAATAGTTAACTAATAATAAATTTGAGTTGGTAATTATAATATATTTTTTTATGAGTAAATTTATTCATCACCTGTGCCGCTGTGCGATGTGTGCGATGCATCGCCCATTAAATTTGATCTTCCCCAGTATCACCGTCACTTTTCTACCCCTGTGCCACATCAGCCTCATTGATTTATTTATTTATTTACCGTACGTTTAACAACAGTAATTTTAACTCTTTCTTCTTTTTTCTCTTTCTTTTTTTAATGTCAGACAAAAAGTTTATGAAAAGCTGTAAATATCGAGTTTAAATAATTATTTAGTATAAAATTTATTGTTGGTTTATTTTTAACTACTATATTAACTGTTTTTTATTTTTTTTGTTTATCTTCTTTATACAAAGATTAGAGCGTAATTTTGGTACTTTGGTCATTCTTTGAAGGCTAAATAAAGTCTTAACAAGTAAAGCATTACTCAAATAATTATTTTATTGAATTATTTTACATATTTGTGGAGTTATAATTATACTTTGTAACAATATTAAGTGCATTATACATTTTTAAATCTCTTTAGGCAACGCGCGTTTATATATTTATTAGGTTATTTATTATACTTGTTTTATTATATTTATTAGGAGAGTTAGGAGAGAGTCCGAGAGACGCGTTTTTAGGTGTTATTTATTATATTTATTTTATTAGTAGATACGCGTTTTTATATTATTTAGGTGTTATTTATTGTATTTGCTTTATTATATCTATCAGGAGACATAGGAGACGCGCGTTTTTATATTTATTTAGGTGTTATTTATTATATTCATTTTATGGGTTACGCGTTTTATTTTATTAATAAATAAGCAGACATAAATTTCCAAGTAAAAATCAAACGAACTTATCATTTTTTATCAGTAAAGCATATTTTATTGTTTTTATTGTTTTATTAACTTTTAGTAAATAATTTTTTTATTAAATTTAAAATCATAAATTTTAAGAGCAAGAAATCAATATTTTTTATACTATCCCTTAAACGGTAAAACATTGCAGGCAAATTTGCCTGCAATTTTACCGAAAATTCAGTTCTCATCTAATTTTATGAAAAATGAAGTTATTCTAATAAAATTTTTTTTCACAAAGAGCTTAAATCATAATTTATGTGACAATAATCATTATTTATTAATTACATATTATAAGATTGAAGATTGACCATTGGTCAAAAGTTGTATTTTTTAAATGACAAAAAATTTCAAGAAATTTTGCATTTAACTTTGACGATCTCATTGGGATTTGATTGCAACTATATTAAAGCTTAATAGAATATGTAGAATTTTCTATGATGAACAACTTTTATTATGATGATTTTTAATGTTTAGAAGTGGCATTTTGACTTTACATAGAACCCTAAAAAAAGAATTATTTTTGTAAGCTTGTAAAAAATGCATAAAGTTAAATTTTATCATAATAAAAATAAAAAAATATATTAAAATGCTTTGTAATGAAGCAGAATATTATGGTAAAGAAAATCAATTTATTATATAAAAATTCCTATCATCGAGAGTTGTATTTTTTGTAGAGCCTATGTAGTATCTATAATCTTATATATATTCAATGTAAATTTATTATATAAATTTTTATAAATCTGTAATACATATAAATTATTTATTTATTTTTTATATAATTGTAGAAATATTATAAATATTTTGTATAAAATTAGCATAAATATAGAATTATTTAGATATAAATTTATGTATAATTTATAGTTAAATAAATTTTATATAAATATTTCATAATTATCTAAATATAAATTTATACGTAATTACAGTTAAATAAATATTATATGGATATTTTATATGCCATTATATATTTTATATAAAATTTTCATATAAATTTATATAAGTTTAAGGGACAGATCGCCACTCAACCGGAGAAATTTAATAATACCGATTTACGCAGATTATTGCCAAAAATGGCTAATACTCCTTTTTTACCAGATCGTCGACTCATCACGTGATATGACGTACAAATTTTAAAGATGGTAGTCGATAGTGACAATCCTAGCTAAGCCACTTGCAAAATTTGAAGTTGCCAAAGTTCCACTGCTTCTACTTTACTATGTATGAACGTGAGATTCTGGCCATAAATTTCTTGTAATTTGAATTTTAGACAATTTATTTTTCAACAATTTTGACCAAAAAATGAGTTAATTTAGGTTCTTATTTAGTTTTTAAACCTTTTTTAGTTTTAATTTAGCCGTTTTTTTTTTATTTTTTTATCTTAATATATTGAGTATTACCAATATTTACTAGATCTGCTTATTATACTATGCTATAGTATGTTGTTTACCATATTTTCTGTAGCTTGCTCTTTGAATGTTCGTGCTTAAGCTGAAATCCAGTTTTGTATCATTGCTATCTTAGGGACATCTTCAGCTTCCAATTCACCAGATTCAACAAATGTCATCAGCTCATTATACATATCCTTTGCCGACATTTTATCCTTTTGGTTGAGATTTCCATTCAAAAAAAAACCCTTTAGCAACTCCTTCACCTTCTTTTTCATTCTTTTCCCCCTTCCTTTCCCTCCTAATTTTTACTTGCTTTTCAACGTCCATCCCATAGGTAATTAAAAATTCACATCAACAGAACTGATTCAATGCAAAAAAATGTAAGTTTTCAATTTTTGAATTATGTCTGTTTAAGCTTACATGTTTCTTTACTTTGCATCTTCTAATTCATCATTGCGATTGTTATTATCCGTGAATTCTGGTATTCTAACTGAATTTATGTCTATAGAACATGTTAGTCAAACATGTTTATAAAAAAATACATCTATTTCAATTGATTACCTGGCAGGGGAATTGTCCAAGCTGACTCAGGTTCAGTTTGTTCGGAAATCTTTGGATGGGGACGAACAATTGGTTTGGTACAAAGTTTTGCAATTGCAGAGGGAGAAAAATTATTCCATAGACCAAAATGTGAAAGTGATCGGGCACATATGTAGCCTATCATTTCGCCAGAAATTGGCCATTTCCAGTAAAATAAATTTGAAATCCCTTTTATAGTTTTGACACTTGGTTTTGAATTTAGTTCTTTTTTGCTAACATTATTTGGATTTTCATTTTCAGATTCAAATTGACTTCGATTTGGTTCCAAATGTGCTAGTGATGTACCAGATAAATGTTTAGCCGCTTCTACCATATCCTCTCCATCACGAATATCATATCCAATCTGAATATATCGTTTGATTGAATGGGAAATCTAAAAGAAAATGGTAATTTTAATATAAAATCTATTGCTATATCTATATATATTATAATACTTACTGCAGCATGATGGGAATCAATTGTTGTTTTAACTTCACCTGGCTCGAGGAATTGCCAATCACGAACTTCAATTTGATACCATTCATTCCAATGCGCAACTATAGCCATAAGTTCTGATGAATGGTAATGTACCCCATTATCTGATATTATTCTAATCCATTTTGGTTTATGTTTTATTGTTTCAAAAACAGCTTCAAAAGAGGAGGCAGTAAACCAAGCATCTTGCTTGGTATCAGTTGACCAGTGATCATAAGCTTTTACGTCTAATTCTTTGCAATTATTTTTTTTTATAAAAACTAGAATTGTGTGAAGAGTCCATCTACGTTTGCCAAGAAATTCTGCTTTAGTTTCCCGAGCAGATTTTGGCAAAATCTCATCTTATAATCAGCAACAAGTAACGTACCATGCTCATCAAGGGTGGTTAATGTAGCTTTAAATTGAGCATTCAAGTATACTTTATGCGTTGTATGTAGGGCTCCGAACCAAATTGATCGGTATCGGCATTGTTAATTACCAAAACCAATCGGTTTCGGTAATCATCAATACCGAAACCGACCAGTAAATACTGAAAACTGAACCGATTTACTGATTCATTATCGGTTCAGTTTTTAACGTTTTCGCAACGTTTTTTATTAAAAAAAATGTGCGAAAACGTTTTTTTTTAATTAAATTAACTAATAAAAACGTTTCGCAACGTTTTTATTAAATTAATTAACTAATAAAAAACGTTTCGCAACATTTTCTATTAAGTTATTGAAAAAAAACGTTGCGAAATGTTTTTTTTTAAAATAAATTAACAAATAAAAACGTTTCGCAACGTTTTTATTAAATTATCAAAAAAAAATGTTGCGAAATGTTTTTTTTTAAAATAAATTAATTAATAAAACCGTTCTCTTATACACATCT